GTGGATGGCTTTATAAACACATGTTACAAGTCTTTTGTTTAATTTTTTCTTGTCATTTTGTTCAATCAACAGTTAAACTACTTAGCAAGCCATAAGGCCAATGATAATTTTTTTAATTTTCTAATGAGTTGTGTAGCGAAATTTGAGGTAGTGGATGTCGTCAATCACGTTTTTTTGCCAGAAATAAAATATCGAAAGCCGTTTTATTTGTGCAAGCAAGCAAGCACACATACATGCAAGAAAACATTGCTCATATAAGAGTATAGGATTAAAATATAGAAAACAACAAAATAATCCCAACGTAAATAGGGTGAAACTATCCTTAACATTGTCTACAGATAATCATCCTTAAGTATGGTAAATCTTTAAGGACTATGTTTTATATATGATAGTTACTTCTGCAACGATTTCAATACTATGATAAGTTATGAAAACCCCGATTCTTTAAGTTTCAAATACAAATTTTTAAGTATTGACTAATATCACAGATTAATGCTTTCTCATGGGTATTGACTCTTTCAGGTTTGTTCAGCCCGGTTACGTAGGAAGGAGTTTGTTTACTATTTGTTTCTTGGTATTGTATTTGACTGGTATTATAACTCAAAAGTAAAACACAAACTGTTCAATTATCAATTAGGCTACCCTTGAAAAAAGAGAAACGCTCAGTTGACATCAGGGCTTAAAACATAGCAAACTTGAAACACACACAACAGATTTTAGATTTGTCAAGTCTACTTCCACTTTTATTCAAAGTTGACTCGGGCGTTTACCTCGTCTCAATGTGGTGCAATCTCGTCCAATCATTCTCCTAGAAAAAGTGGCACATTGTCCACGTAAAAACTTGACAATGTTACAAGCAAACCCTTGTTACATAACAAGAGTGACAGTTACAGTATTAAAAGTTTACATTGTATTGAAATATGCAAATAGAAACACATCTTGACAAGGACCTTTTGCATTTCCAAACTTGAAACGTGTTTAAGATCAAACCTCAAACCTTTCTAGTACAATAAACATTGACTAAGAACATAAACATCAATTGGATAATAACTTTAAACATCGTGGAGTAGGATGATGGAATCTTAGAATTGATCGTGATGAGCTAAAATAACTTAGCAAAATCTACCTTTAAATACCTTTGAAATGGTGTTGTATATAATTTTAGCTTTACACATCTTCTCCTCAAATATGCCCGGGGAGTAATTTTTTAACTGTTAAAATTATAATTCGATCCCTCAATTCTATACGTCCAAATCGTCCATTTGACGATTTATAAAACTAATTAAGTTAAAACACTAATGAAATAACTTAATAAAATAATAGAGGTAGGCTAAGATACATAGGTTTTGATAATGTGGCACTAATTGTTGAAAGAAGAACGTTCTTCATAATTTGGCAATTATTTTATAAGCCATTTTCATCATGTTTCGTTGTGTGAACACACTCCCCGTGATTTTTTTACTCTTCACAATTTGCAATGCATCTTATATTGCTCATCTTACTTTGTCGTGATGCTGTTCCTTCGTCATTTCTTATGTGTCCCGTGTGATGTTCCAGCATGCTTCATCATGATGTCGTGCGGGACGTCCTTCGGCTGGGTGGCTCCGTCCTTCGTCAAGTTGATGTCAGAGGACAGCGTGATACCAATGACGTCATCGGAGGCTTCTTGGGCCATCGCTATAATAGAGTTCGGCAACCTGTGGTCTCCCGTCCCAGCTGGCATTCTGGCAGACAAGCTTGGCCGTAAACCATTAGCGCTTGTGAACGGACCTATTAGTATAGCATCCTGGGTGATCATCATGTATTTCAAGTCTTTCCTCGCATTATGCATCGGGAGGATTCTTCAAGGCTTCGTGATAGGCATTGTTTTCACCGTAGTGCCCATGTACTTGGGAGAAATCGCCTCCCAGAATATAAGAGGAGCTGTTATAACCCTTTCTCAAGCCTGCTTCTGGTTCGGATTCGTCTACGAGTACGTCATAGGACCTTTTGTAAGTTTCGACACGCTTATACTCTTCTCAGTCTGTTTGCCAGCTGCGTTCCTTGTCCTGTTCTCATTCCAACCGGAATCTCCTCATTTCTACATAATGCGGGAGGACGAACTCAACGCGAAGAAAAGTCTGATGTGGCTGAGAGGTGCAAAGAATGAGGAAGACGTCAAAGAAGAACTGGCTGAGATCACTGAAAGTGTCCGCGAGGAAATGAGCCACAAAGTCTCTTTAGCTGACATCATCTCTACTCCGACTGACAGAAGAGCACTGTTGATCGTTCAAGTTGTAAGTGGTGTCAAAATGTTGAGTGGTGTTGCACCTATTTTGGCCTACTCGACGGAAATTTACCGAAGAACAGGGTTCACCCTGATTCCACCTTACATGATGACCATCATCACCGGTTTGGTGCTTTTCATCTCAGCTTTCTTCAGCACCACGTTGACCGACTCAGCTGGAAGAAGACCTTTGCTGATCATCTCCTGTGTCGGCTGTGCGCTGAGTCTTTATGTCGTCAGTGGATTCTTCTATGTGTACGAGTTTACAGACAGCGACCTCGGCGACTTCTCGTGGGTCATTCCATTGTGTATCATCCTTTACAATCTGTTCATGGCGTTCGGTCTGGACCCTGTCTCAATCACTTATCGAGTTGAGATGTTCCCTGCTCACACTCGCTCCACCGCTGCCAGTCTCAACACTCTCGTCTTCACAATCGGCGCCTTTGTAACTCTCAAGTTCTACCAAGTTGTGGCTGACACGTTCGGCGTGTACTCTATATTTTTCATATTCGCAACTTGTTCGTTCCTTGGTTCGATATGGATGTACTTTTACGCAATCGAAACTAAAAATAAATCTCTTGCTGAGGTTCAAAAAGAACTAACAAAAATGTTAAACTAATTTTAGGCATTAGCTTTAGTTTCAATTATTTCATTGTACACTTACAATGTTAATAAAACTGTACATTTTTTTTGTTTTTGTTATGTATTTAAGATTGTTAATCTAATTAATGCACGGGTGTGACATACCAAGAACGAGTGTGTTTCGTATTTTGTATTTCTAGTCATTATGGAAAAACACCTTTGATTTAAATCAATTTGAAATGTCATTGATAATTGTATCTCAAAGATAATGTTTTTGTCATCACCACCAAATCTTTTTTACTACCTTTGAATAAAATCTCATGTTTTCCCATATTTGTTGCTTACTGAAACCTATATTCAATATTTCCTAGTCAACCTGACTCATTCAACCTGTCTATAGACATTATGATATTATGACATTATGACAAAATGAATGACCCAGTTTTAACGCTTTATAACTTTTTATACTATTAAACTTACCGCTATAAAATACACATCAAATGGTAAAGCAACTCAAAGAGTTTATGCCTTCCAAAGACACATTGTTTAACAAAATCGATCCAGCAGAACTGTAGATTTAATTGTACAAAGTTAAAAAGTAATCTCCAACTTTTTTACCACTAGAAATTTGGAGGTTACTTGACGTTTTTGCAAATAACTTTTAAATGGTGAGGAAATTGACCAAAGTGGAAGGTAATATTCCGAAAGAGAATAAAATTTCCTACAATCTACTACTATCTGAGTAGATATTTTTTCAGTAGCCAATGCCGACACCACTTACTTCTAGGTTTTCTTTTCCTCTTTTATTTCCTCTTGAAACTGGTTGCAACTTGCAACACAAATAACGTAAACAGAGACCATAACAGTAACTCATCCATCGTCAAATATACAGGGAGCCACTTCACAACAGGATACATCTGGTAGTGGTTTGAGCTAAAGCTATAGAGAAAAGGACGGAACGTGTAAATGGTCCGCTCAACCTATGACAAAACGTAACGATTAGTCGTTGCAGACAAGTCGCTTTTTTTATCGGACCGTGTAAACCCGGCTAGCTAGTTTTTCTAAATGTTTAAATGGTGTTTGCAATCTGAGTGACGTCACAGCATATGACGGGAATAGCACACATGTTTTTTCCCTTCCACCATATGGGTTCCATCCACTCCACGAATACTACCTACTTGAACAGACACGGCATTGATCATAAACCAAACAAGCAAATGATGTTACGAACCCGATAGTAAACATTATAACATTGCTTAAATCGTTCTTAAATGGAACTATCTGAAACAAAGCCATTATGTTATTAGTATAGAATTCGGGCCAGTTACGTCGTTTACGTTTACGATCCACACTATTTTCTTTTATAATATTCGTGATTCACTCTAAGTAATGTACATTTCGCCAGCTTATGGCATTTTTAGAGGGTTTCTATAATTTTATTTATCTCCCATAACACTAACACTACAAACCCTATTGTCATTTTACACGAAATGTTTACCCTTGTTACTTGTATCGTGGTCTGGCCAAGTGGCCAAACCCACTTGAAAAGAATAAGGCTGTAGCTTTAAGCACCTTCGAATATTAAGGGTGATATCATTAAATATGTATACTGGTTTATTTGTAAATATAATAATCAATGGTGATATCAACCTATTAACGTTTTCGAATCAGCTACCCGGTACATAGCGTAACATCTCACAACAGTTGTGTGCATAGGTGCTGTTACTGAGCATTATTTCAGATTTCTACAATCAGACGTTCTTAAAGATTACCAACACAGTTTTGTCTTCCATAAACCTTTTTGTGCTCTTTATTCCTGTGCTATTTATTTATGCCTTTTCCAAGTTGTCAATGGAAATAAGTTTCTTCATGAAACTGTGGTGTTTGATGTTTAGAGTCTCGATCCACGGCCACCTTTCTCGATCTCTCTAGTCGCTCTGTTTCTTATGTTAGTTCGGTTCGATTGGGTTCGTTCGGTTCCATGGTGGATCGGTCGGTTCTGTATCCATCGGCCATCCACCACCACATCCACCCAGCACCCACCCACACCCACACCCACTTCACTTATTCAGTCAGTTCTATCTTCTATCAATGTCAAGTCAACTCAACACACAACTGTCAGTGCATTATTAGTGTGTGTAATAAAGTACTGTTACACTGAATGTCTCGTGATCATCTGTTTTTTGTTTGTTGTTGATTAATTTTGATTTTGATCGCGCTGTCAAAATAAACCCATTTCTGGATCAAATTATATTATTCGCCTACCGCGTTGTTCTTAATAACAAGTGAATAACCTAATAGCTAGGCCTATTCTGATCATGGTCGTGTAAAGTAAACAGTGCTGTTAGTAGCCTTCATAATTCTTAAATAAAAACATTACATACAACTAAATAATTATGTAGGTCTAGCCTGGTTGTTAAATGAGCAAAAATTACATTCCTTGTCTTGTCTCCTCTTTTTATTCAGCCAAAGAAGGTGAGTAGGGCCTGGACGCAGGATTTTTGAAAAATCACTGTCTTAAGCATAGCCTAAGTGAAGAGGTGAGTTAGGCTATATTTTAATATGATAAGCTTAACTTGTTCTAACAATCTGGGTTGGGTACAGTTTCTTAACTGGGCTACGCTAATATTGATTGAAACTATTGAATTGAAAATATTGATTAATAATCAATATTTTTAAATAGCCTATATCTATTATAACCCTTAGAGTGCCAGGCGAGAAATAAAAGTAACGCTCAAAAAATGCCGATGATTTTTCCCGAAGGTCGCGCTAAAAATGCCGAGCGCGATCTGGCGATTTTTAGGTTAAAATTTCGTAAAAATCGAATTTTCGATATTTCGACCAACGAAAATCGATGTATCGCATCTAGCAACTTTCGACTCAAAGTTAATATATGGGTTAAAAGAATCCGAGTATTTATTCGGTTGTTATGACAGCTGTTCGATCATTACGAAACGTCCGGTCAGCCGGACGTTGGCACTTTTGGCTCGTTCTAAAAACGTCCGGTCGGCCGGACGTTGGCACTTTTGGCTCGTTTTAAAAACGTCCGGTTCCCCGGACGTTGGCACTCAAAGGGATAAAATAAAACCATCATACACTAACCTAACCAACCAAACTTGCTGATGGTGAAAAAATCGGAAAAGGTTTACTAATCGAATCGATAGTTTCAATCGATATTAGGCCTAGCGTAGCCCAGTTAAGAAACTGTACTCGCTGGGTTTTTCTAGGTGAAGAAATGGAACTTTGAGAGTGGTTTGCGGAGAAGCAATTTTCCGCTTGTTCAGTGGCGGTCCACTCCACTTCTTGGTTACTATTTGGTGTTGTAGCCTAAACTTTTACCATTGCATTGATTCTTTTCTATTGATGTTCAATGGTGTTAACATTCAGGTTAGGCCTAACTTAGCTGACCAATGTGTTTGTAAAAATCGCCCTTGGTTTTATAGGCCTAGTTCCTGTATGAGCTGAATTTTAATTAGTGGTGAAACTATACTTAAGCTTATCAGACTCCATTAAATTACAGTATTGAACAATAAAAGTAACTTATAGATTTAATTGATAATAACACATTCTTCAATAGGCCTTATGTTGAGACAATTAAGTTACTGGGTTAATACAATGGATAGTTACAATGAATAGTTAATACAATGGATAGTTACAATGAATAGTTAATACAATGGAGTCGGATATCAAAGTTTTTCCAGATTTGTTTTATAGGTTACTTGAAACCAAAGTTGCTAGCCCTCAGATTATTAGGGAGTGTTAATGTCTTGGAATACAGTGCAAGAGGGGCAGGTTACATATCTGCAGATCCACCATAAGCCTTAAGCATATAACTTGGTGTTCTCAAAATGTTACTAGGTCTAAAACTATGAATAGGATTGGAAAAATAACTAATATAATGGCGTGAACAAGGTTTTTTACCTTTGAGAAAATTAAGTTAGACATAGGCCCTATAGAGCATTTTGGTTTTTAACTCCAAATTCTAACCTCTTTTCTAGATAACATTTAAACATGCTGTCCTACCATACACGTAGACTTTTGTACGCTTCTCTCATTCTTCTCATCATATACTCAGTTGTGCAGATATTTCGGCCGCCAAAATTGATCGATTTACAAGATAGAGAAGCCCAGCTGTAAGTAGAAGTTTCGATAGTTTTTTGGTATTACATTTCTTTTCTAAGCTCATTAATTCTTAAGTTCAGATGAACCTATCATGGTTTTTAACAGTTTAACAAGCATAGGGACCTTTTCTGTTAAGTACCTATGCAACCACCTCTAGCCTACCCATGTTTTTCAGGTAAAAATAGTACCGGTAAGTTACAGAATGGCTTGTAGGTCTACAAATTCTGTTTAGGTTTGGTTGGTTAAGTTAACTTCATTAAGTTAGAATCGAGACACTACCTAAAACTTTAATACATAGAAACCCCAATGAGTCTAACATAAATAGCAAGGCTGTTTTTGAATAAGGAACCTATTTTTTTCAGTTTATTAGTAGTTTGTATTAACACATTCACTGCTAATGATATGTAATACTTTTATAAATGGCTAAAAAACATAAACATTAACATGATCATGTTAATTGAGTGACAATATATCTTTAATTAAATAAATTTTATACTATAAATTGTGGATTAAAATATATTATGTAATTATATACATCATGTATTAACTATGATAGTGGTTTAAATACCTTATTCTTGCAATCCAATTGTTGTCTTCACAACTAGTTTCAACCTGCTAGGAGGTCATCATCAGGTGAGTACAAGGATGATATTACTTCATATGAAGGTCGTCAGTAACAGTTTTTTCACATTCACACAAACACACGACGAATAAACACATAGTGCGCACACATATACGGCCGATAAAAACATTTAACTCGACAAGCGGACCCGTGTTGATAATGCGGAAGTTGCGTCTAGACTGTAGGGTAAACAGCTGGTCAAGCATCACGCGCATTTTCTTATCGCTCGTCGGTTCCATTCCCATTGTCTCTGCCCTCCCCTTCCCTCTCCAGTATTTCTATTGCAGTGTTGTATATGACGTTTGAATTAAAATAAAGTTGGTCGTTTAAAACATTATCCATGTCTGATTTGACGGCTCTATATATCTCGAATTCTTCCAGGGTGTTAATTTTAAACTTGTCCTGTGACGTATGTAAAATTTCCATGTTTTCATTAATGCTGCTGTAATTATGCTGATGAGTAATTAAATGTTCGGCAAAGGTTGAAGTTTGTTTTGAGGTGGTCTTCTTTGGTACGTGCTCCTTAAAGCGTTTGGAGAAAGAGCGGGAAGTTTGGCCTATGTAATACTTATTACAATCTGAACAGTTGATTTTGTAAACACCACTTTTTTCATATTTAAGTTTAGTTGTATTTGGTCTTTCTTTCAGAAGTGGTCCAAGATTGTTTTTTGTTCTAAAGGATACAGTTATGTTATTTTTCCCCATTAATGATTTGAATTTATTACTAAGACACGAATTATAGTCAGCTGATAAGAACTTTTTATTTTGGTTCACTCTTTCTGTTTTGTTTTGGTGTTTCAAAATTAATTTATCTATTAACGTGGTCGTGTATCCATTGGAGACGGCAATGTGTTTTATGATGTTTATCTCTTCGTTGTAATCATCCGTGCTCATTGGAATTGATAACAATCTATTTACAAAACAATGATATGCGGCTAATTTCTGTGAAAATGGATGGTGTGAGTCTGAATGTATTGTTTGGTCGGAGCAGGTGGGTTTTCGGTAGATTTTAAACTGTAAGCTGTCATTATGTTTTGATATGGTAAGGTCCAGAAAATTAATGGAATTATTTTTCTCCTCTTCTAATGTGAACTTAATATTATTGTGAATATGGCACAAATAAGCATTTAGAAGGGATAGCTGTCTGTTGTTACCATTGAACATTCCTTAGTTCAATATTCCTTAATGTTGTTGCCTCTGTTCTTAAATGTTAGCTGTATAACTTAGTTATTATTCGCAATCCGGAGGCTACTCACACCACAATCATGTATTATATATCTGCTAATATACTTATGACGCACAAGTGCGTCATTAGCAGTGAACGTGTTAAAAGGCTATTTCGGTTCAAGAGATCTGCAACCGTAGTTTTTTTTTATGTTATTTTTATTATTGTTATCTTAACATCTTAAAATCTATAGCGGTACACTAAATATATATTTTTTTCAACAATAACTTAATTGTTAGGTAGGTGTTTATCATAACAAATAATTCTCAATATTCCTTAATGTTGTTGCCTCTGTTCTTAAATGTTAGCTGTATAACTTAATTTGAGTTCGGTTCTTGAACCAGAGATAACTAATAAAAATACTCAATAAAACCTATGAGTCTAACTTAGTTTATAGTTTACAATTACTGGTCTTAAGTTTAGTTACAAGTGAGTGATTGGTATTTTACTTTCATAGACCCTTTGAAATGTCTTTTGGTACTGAGGTGAAATATTTTTTACTTATTTTTTCAGAAAGCAAATGGCCAAAATGATTCAATCTGGAAGTAACAGTAAACTATGGTAAGTCTATAAATTCTTTATGTTAACAATCCCTTTGATCACATCATTCTTATGCGGTTTGCATTTTGTTTGTTTATATATTTTGCTTTGGCTGTTGGTTTTTTACTTTCTCCTCCTATACATGGTATATGGAGAAAATGTTGTTTTCCTCAACATTTTTAAATCTGACTTTTTGGTGGATGTAGCATATCCGTTTTGGGTATTGATATCTCATTTCATCCCCATTTCCAGATAAAAGATTTATTAGGATTTTTGTTTTAATTTTTTATAGGCTACTGCTACTCTATTGACTATTGCTATGTTACACCCTAAAATATTACCACAGCCAAACAATTTTACACCGTCTGCAAATCCTTCCTAGTTAAACCGGGCTACTACTGCGACCATCACAGATCGGACGTTCACTGGACTTGAACTCAACATTTTACAACAAAGATACTCACAATATAGAACTGCCAACAGTACAATTCTGGCTCGTAGTTGTGATCTAAATAGTGGGGGTTTCCCTAATAGGGCAGCAGGTTTGGATGCAATGATCTCATGATGCAGTGGGCGGGTAAAATCTGTAACAGGGAAAATCTGTTTATGTCCAATCATCTCTGTGACGGTTGCAGTGGGTGCCCTACTTTCTCCTATTCACATTTAAACTGAACGATATTTTCTTTTTGCTGATGCACATTTTTTTTTATTACTGCAGGAGAGGTGGACAGGCTTGTAGACATCCTAGACTGGAGGTGAACAGTTCAGAGATCATGAGGTTCATTAAACCTCAAGGTCCTCTGCAGTGTGCAGACGAGCCGGACTGGGTGACAATGGTGGGAGGCATGGCCAAGATCACGCAACTGGCTCGCGACAGATACGGCGATATTGAGTGCTCGTTCACAGGTATTACAGTGTTAACACAGTAAATGATCGTTTAAAATATGTTATGTACCTGGACGCTCTTTAGCAATTCCAGACAATTGTAGGAGTAACTTGTTTTGTCTTCTTGGAGCCACCATCAGCACAATGTTGTTTACTTACATTCACATGAAGATCGTAAAATAAACATTTAAAACTGACATATCGACACATATACGGCACATTTAAGATAACTGATCTATGGGCGTCCACATAACTTTTCCATAAGGGGGATCAGAGGGTCTTGATTGTACAGAATTGCTTCCAGCACAAAGGTGGTCCTCCCCCAGAAAATAGTTGAAAATAGTACAAAATGACTGGTTTGATTTTACGCATGTCTCACCTAAACTCCTTGGTCACATGTTTGAATTATTAACTTTTTATTTTTACTCCACAATCTAAATAAAATTAAATAAAATAATTTGGGGCCTCTAGCCCATATTGATGGACGTCCATGAACTAATCAGTTTATAAGGGATGACACCAACCCGGCAGGGTTTGAGTCCCGACGGCACAAAATTAAGCTTTTATTTAAAAAGTTGTTCATTAGTAAACTTTATGCTTGGCTGAATATAGATTTTTCTATTTGTAGAATAACTCTTTTTTTTTTTGTTCTAAAAATACAATTTTATTAAATACACCTGGTTGGATGACTGGTTACATTGCTAACATAACAATCAGAAGGTGCTGGTTTGATCCTGTGCCAGTAGAGATTTATGGCTTGAAACCAGATTCAGTAGTCCTTAGTCATCGTGCTTTATATAAACGGTCCTCACTATCAGGAACAGGTGGACTTGGCAGCGCAAATTTGAAGGTTTTGAACAACTTTCCTTCAAAAGCGTGACAGTATCTCTAAAAATACCTCAGGTGTTAGTATGAAAGTTATTAATTAAGGAATATCACACATCCCACACTTATCATCTATTTGTATCTTATCTGAACTACCCCTTGGTTGCCTCCACTTCTAAAAGTCTGATCAAGTGACAAAATTATTCTTGGTCCTATAACAAAAATAAAATAAATTCCAAACCGAACTTTCTTTGAATAAATTGTTTTATCACATAAAATCACAATTTTTTTCCATCAAAGATGTGAAAGTAACACACCTGGACCTGTTGCAGATATCACAAGGACTGATGATTTCTACACTAGGACTGGCATTACAACAACGACACATACAGAGTTTAATCTCGAGTCTAGTGATGTTGTGCGGGTCCGATGTATCTCAGAATCTGGCAAAAAGTGAGTAGTTTGTCAATTACATAACATTATGGATAAAGTTACTGTCCTTGTAACACTGTTGTTTCTTTTGTATTACAGCCGTAATGTTGCTTACACATTCTGATTGTTAAACACTTACAGTAGAACCTCGGTTAACCGGGGGCAGATCAATCGTGGCCAATAGATGCCTCTTAAGTTATGTTACATTATGCTCATTTGGCAAAAATAAACGGAAGCAAACAAAGAAATACTAATCGAGAGCTTCAAGCTCAAGCTATCCGCTTGCACTGAAACCTCAGCTCCTTACACATCTGTCTGCTGTGCGCTTACTATGCACAACCGTTTGTGATTGGCCGATTGGTAATCAAGGCAACTTAAGTAGCCTGTGATTGGGTGATTAGTAACCATGAAAACTTGTTGAATGTGTGGAGTAAGAAAAACCAAAGAAGGAATAGAAGAACAAATACCCCCGCCGCAGCAAACCTGCAGACTAAGCAAATTTCCATTTGCCTGATTTGATTTTTAATTAAATCTATTTCAATAACATTAGGTATAAAATGTAAAAATCGGACAATCTACCGTATTTATAGACCTATAGACAAAAAAGTACATCACTTTTATGATAAAAATTGAGATTTAGACTGTCTTGTATGACAGCTTTAAATAAAAATAATATTATAGGTGAGAATTTATTTTTTCCTTAAATATAACATGGAAAACAACATTTTGATTGATGAAAAAATCTGTTTACGTTTCTGCATTTGACATACCATACTTATAAAATATTTATGCCATTTCACTTAGTAACATCTTGAAGTCCATTTTATGCTGAATATTTGGTTTTTAATTTGTCCTGATATCTTAAAAAGTAAAAAAGTTATTCAACATCTAGTAAACAATATTTTTTATCAAAAACTCGGGTTTCACACAAAGATTGCCGCAAAAAAAATTCCGAAGGGAAATTATTTTTTTAATACTTGCATGACATTTCTATTGATACAGTTAACATTTAATAAAAGTTTCATCAAAATTACAAATGTTGAGCAACCATGCCTGTATGACTTGAAATGGATTGACCCGCTAACGTATCAATGATAGCATTACACATAGTATTAAAAAGTCAACCCTCTGTACCAGTATGTCATTTTGTTTTTATCCAAATGCTGAATTTGTGTCACACACGCTGAATGTTTATAGCTGTTACGTTGACAAATGGTATTATACGAAAAGCTAGTCTAAAATGTTATCGTCGGCTGCTAGACTTAAAAAAATGAAAACCCTATTTCTAAAAAACTGACTGAAAATTTCAAATTACCTGTAGACAAAGTTGAATTTTACATTTTCAATAATAGTTTAAAGACTCGTTTATTTTATGAGTACACCTTGTGTTAGAAGAGTGATTGGTTTGCACAAAAAAATGCATTCCACATGGGGGACCCTTTCTCTTAATCTCACTAACATCTAAAAATAAATTAAGTGTTGCTTAAGGTGATATCTATAACAGAATTATTGGTGTCATTTGTCCTTAAAATATTACCTATTCAAAAAGCCTGTAAAACCAGTGTTTCTCATGCTGTTGATTTCCAGGTGGAACAGTATTTTGGCTGGTATCCGCAATGACCAGGATGTTATGGATCGCTCCGGATGGCAGTCTCTTGCCCCGGACGCGTTGGGTCTCAACGTGCTCATGTTCGGTTTTGACTCTCTGTCGCGCAACACGTTCATCCGCAAGCTGCCTCGTAGCTACGCATACCTGCACGACCAGTTGGGAGCTACGGTGCTCGAAGGATACAACATCGTAGGCGATGGCACGCCACAGGCACTAATACCTATATTGACAGGTATGTTTCTACTGGGTTCTTTGTGTAAGAAATTGTTTAGGGTGGTTGTAGGCTTTGACCGGAGATAGAATTTTATTACATTTCCGTGTTGAAGATGTAGCCTTTTGTGTTTTTTAAAAAAAATTTGGGTGGTTGTAGGCTTTGACTATCAATAAATAAGACATTCCATATCTGTGTTAAAGTTGTGGCAACTTTTAACATAAAATATAGGTACTAATTGAGCCTCCGGATTTCTATTACTGATTTCTTTAGTAATCTAAAACTTACTAAGCTAAACTGATGTCAACTTATTGTGACTAGAGAACTTTTCGGCATAGCCTTCTCTAATACAAGGCCGTGGCATTGGATTTTGTGTCAATGTTTTACTGGCCTGCCTATTGCCATGGTAATAACAGTAATAAACCAAACCTGTAAACATAAACATTGCACAGACGCTCTTATGTACAACAGCTGTTTCAGTTGGCCGGTGCTGCGGTGTTGCCACTTTTGTCTCGCCGCGGCCTTGTATTAGGGGAGGCTATGATTTCGGCCATCAAATTAACAAAATAATGTTAGTAGTAGAGAAACATTTAGGAATTTGATACCAGCTAAATAAGAAGAATAACAAATTTGATTGGTTTGTAATAATAAATAAACAAATAATCATTCGTCATGGATAAATTTTACTATATTTTCATTTTACGACTCATATCTTTTATTTTTATCCTAGATATGAGTGCAATAATTTAAATACACATGTGTGTTTTTAAGTGTCAGTGGGTCCATGAATTGGGATTGTGTTATGTGATGGTGGAGGCCATCTGTTTGATGATAGTTTTGCTGCTTTAGCAATAAATGTCCTTGATATTAACAAAGTAGGAAGACAATTTATATGATTGTGCCCTTAAGAAAGACAAACTAGTTTAGCATTTTGCTAAACTTGATGTTAAACAACCCTTAATATTCTAATTTTGTTTTTTTTTATTTTCACATAGTTCCTTAATGTTTTGCTATAGGCCTACCTAGTGTTATGTAATAAACATTATTTTAAGTTGTAGATACATTTTTGTGTAAAAGGAGACTGTTGCATGTTATTTGGTTTCAGTATTGAACAAAGATTAGTTGTGATTCATATTTACGGTCTGAAATCATATGTTTAAATAATGCTGTTTTCTTATGACACATGTTTAAATTACCGTATATTGTTTACTTGATGAAATCACGTGTTTAAATTATATTGTTTACTTGATGAAATCACATGCTTTTGTTTAGAGTAAATTGGTTTTTCTGTTACCAGTTTTATCTTCAGTCTTTCTCGATAGATTAGTTAAACACTCTTTTGTAAAAGAATGGTTGTAAAATGTGTTAAATATGATTTTGTATTAATGTAATCTCATCTCTTATGAAGATGCTGATGTAAGCTGCTTAGCCAATTAGTTCGAGGTTTTTCACCTAGCTGTGCCTATTTACCTAGCATGTGCAGATTTCATGCTCTTCAATTTTCAATAAGTTATGCCTGCATTAGAGGTTTAGATTCATGTTTTATTAAGTTACTCATGGAGTTTTGTGAAACAATTTGGCTCAATAAAAGTACCTACTGAATATTGGTCACAAGTTCTTTTTTTTTCTTTTTTTTTCTTACGTTCATGTATGTGAAAATTTTACTAATAATCGTGTTTATGTGTTTTACTTGACACTAGCCTATTACCTCTAGATTTATTAAATATAATAGCCTATCTCATCTAGAATTATGATAACAAGCATGGGATTGATTTAGAAATTAAAGTAGTCCCAAGTTCGTACAACTTAAAATTAATTTGGAACTAAAACTGACCCAGATTCTTATACTTGTTTAACATTTCATAACAAATTTCACTTAAAACTCACTTCTTATCCTTATCAGTGTTATCTTTTAGTCAGAATTATCTAGAGCAGTGTTTCCCAAACTGTGTCCAAATATAAAGAAAGTTAGTCATAACTGGATTTTTGAACATTGACTGTAGAAATAAATTAGACCTGAGAAGGGTGAAGCCCTAAAGAAAATAACCCTTTTCATTGAAATTTGCAGGTGCGATAATTGAGCTTTAAAATGGCACCTCATTTGTAAAAATCGGTTAAGTAGAATGGCTAAAAAAGGGATGTGACGGAGGAAACCCTTATTGTATTACGTTTGCAGATTTTCTATGAATTATCGTTGCATATATTCATAATAAAGTGTCGAGAGCTGTGCACAAATGTAATGGAAGTTTAGAGGGAGAAAACTTGTTCTGATTCCGTAGCATTGTAAAATAGCTAATTTAATTTTAAAATATGTATTATGCAGAGGGTTTCCTCCGCTTGTAAAAAAAAAACCAAAAAAAGAACAATAATACGCAGTTAGGTTTTATGTACCGGTACAAAATAACCAGAGCCTTACCTTTTTTTATTCAGTTCAGATATGGTCTCTGGTAAATAGTAAATTTTAGCTTGATAATCGTCTATAGTTTTGATTCTAAAATAGAATGCGTTTTAGAAAAAAATATTTTTTTCTCAATTCGATGCTTGCAAGATGAAGGGGCGTAAGTACATATTATGTGTGCTTAAGCCCCTTTGTCAAAATGCAAACGATGAATCATACTACCTTTACCTTTACAGTTTTTATTTAGACCCGTATTTCTAAATACAATACTTACACAATAATGATGTTTAATTAATATTATTTGTTAGATGGTTTGCCGAAAATAAGCTTGGGAACTGCTGTTCTAGAGTGATTATGGAATACATCCATAATGTAGCAATGTTTAGTAGTAGTCTTTAAACGTTATTAGCTAGTTTTAGTATACCATATTCCTTGAGGAGACTGATCACAAATGTTATGCATAGATTTTTGCATTTTGTTTTGTGAATGAGCATGATTTGTGTTTTATTTTCATTTTGTTTGTTTCCCTGCACGTTGTTGCATTTGTGCTGCCGCCTCAGAAGTCCAGTTCATGGTAATGGTAAGTAATTTTATTGTTTTCATGGCTTTATGATTGCATGCATTTTGGTTTACAATCGTTAATTTTGTGTTTGTGTGCTTAACATGCATGAATGTGTTGTGAGTTATTGTGTCTTAAGTTAGTTGATGAAATAGTTCTGAACTTGTAAGTAATTAATTTTGGAGTAAATTTTACATTAATCTTTTACAGTTTGTCCTTCCTTAATATGATTGATCTTGTTATGAAGTTATACGAGCAATATTTAGATAAAACTGAGTCTGCATCACAAAAATAGTTAATAACTTTTGCCTGTATCATGGATACCCGTAGTAAAATTACAATCAACTAACTAGCTCCAAACCTGACCTTTTTGATATATCAATGTCAACTTTTTATTGTATAAGCTTGGTCAGCAACTAACTATAATTACATGTAAGGATTATGGAAATTTGTATAAACCATCTGAACCTGATGTTATTTTATCTTAATTTGGGCAAGTGAGACTTAAAAATAACTAAGTATTCTTGATGTTTAAATAAACAGAGTGGTGAACTAAAATGACGTTTACACAAGGTAAGAAATGACAATGTTTGTTACTTAAACTGATTTATACCTTTCAGTTTTAAAATCGATGAATCTTTTATACTAGTACTCTTGGAGATTAACAGGTATAGACTTATCTATTGATGTCCTAACAAAATATATCATACATTTTATAATTCTCAGGTTTGGAAAAATGGCTGCTCTTGAAAAGTTGACTACTTGAATCTGTAAAATTTGAATAAAAATGTAAACTGTTATTAAATCTTTGCCACAATATCATAACATTTCTGTGTAGTTTTATTTATTTTAAAATAAAAAAACTAATAACTTTTATGTGTATTTTTTTGTTTTGTAGTTCTCAATAATTTAATACATCTGTACAGTCTATTTATAATTTTTTTTTGTTTCTTATTATACTCTAAAAAATTAAAAGAAGGCATACTGTGCCGGTATAAGTGGCTGCGCTACTCTGTCTCTCTCTCTTTTTTAAGCCGATTCTTTGTCTCACTCTCTCTCACTCAGTCAGCTGACTTGGCCGCACACTCGCGATAGTTGTTTTTTTTTTGTTTTTTTTTCCTAGGACGCTAGACACAAGCCTGGGATTGTTTTTCACATTCCTTCAGGCTAGACCGAGGGGTTGCGGCATTATCGCTTAGATAAAATCCATTGGTGACTTGGCGGGGATCGAACCCGGGACCTCAGGGACTGAAGTCCCGCGCTCTAACCACTACGCACACTCGCGATAGTAGCGCCTTCGCTACCTAGCGTTCACCGCGGGAACTATTCAAAATTCAAATTTTCCCAGACTGAATTGTTTACTAAGGCATTGCGCTTAGGGTTTGTATTCGTTGGTAATAGCGTACAGTGTTGTAATAAAATGTTTTCAGTTTGTAAATAAATAAAGTTTCACAGCAATTCTGTGGAAACTCAACAGTTTCTTTTCCAAAGACTAGCGCATATTTTTATCTTTATTCACATTAGCGCTGTGTGGTGTGTTGCGGTGTTAGCTGTTCATAAAAATTCTCAGCTATAAAAATTAATTCTATATACTTTTAAATCTGTGTGTGGTGAAATGCAGTAGTAGATATGTTTTTTATCTAACAGTTCGTCACAATCAGTTTTATCAGTACGGTTTATCAGTTTCTCCTCCCATGTAGCTCTGATCACTCTGATTGCTGTGTAGCACATTTTTAAATCAGACCAGTATTATTTTTATTCATATTTAAGTACATATTGGGTTTCTTTTGCAAAGATAACCTCAGAAAGAGCAATGGCACTAGCACACATAAAATACATTTTGATCACCTCTGAACATAAATGCACAGCAAATGTGTTGCTGAGAATAATTTTGACCATTCACTTACATATGTTGTTTATTTTTAAATTCTTGTATAAAATTGTAAGTAATGAAGAATTATAAATCAAAACCAGTTGAAAATCCTCCAAAAAATTGTTTGTAAGAATGGTATTGTTTAAGACATGTATCCATAGCTATTCAGACTACCAGTCTTTTCAATATTATGTACATTCCTCTAAACGGCAGAGCTAAAAAATGTTGTTGATTTATCATCTTTATATTTATGGGGTTTTTGTGAACATTATCTATCACAATAATTAGTAAAAGGCAAATCAGAACAAGTAGACGGATTAAATAAATCAATATAAGTACACAATAATCCACAATATCCACAATAATCCTGTTTAAAAACGTAAACTTCCCATCAACAAAAACGGGCCTCAAACAAAGAAAAGAAGGACATCTTTTTCTGAATTCATACATAGCACAGTGTTTTAACTTCTAATTCTTATGTTGTTCTTATGTTGGCTTTATGTAAATAGTAGCACAAATGTTGGATTTAAAAAATGTCTAGTGGATAAAGGTGTATATATACAGTCTCAAATGCAGTGTTTCAGTAAGATAGTAGAGTTGTAATTTAGAAGTCGTAGCCTAGTGGTTGGTTGAGAGGCGTTTTGGTAGGTGAAGCAGCTTTTTAAAATTCAGTGAGGTCTTTGTGTTTAATGAAATCTATAGCTTTCCTTCATTAGTTTCAGTCAGTTTTAAGACTGTAAGTCTTAGGCTGTGTGCTTACTTTCAGAGCAATGAGTATTTTTAACTACAACATTTTACTTCCTGACAATTCTAATATTTAAAAGTCACTTATCAGTCAACAACTTGAAGAATTTCTAAATATACCTTCTTACATAGTCGTATATTTAGGTAAATGAGGTATAATACATAAACTAGGTATATGTATATTAGGTATAGGAGACTACTGATAGTAGTCAGTGATGGTCTTGAGAATCAGATCCACTTTTTCGTGTCAGACAAACTTGGCATTGGGATTGATTGGCATGCATATTCCTGTAATCCAGCTACTAGGTCAGGAATTGTGGATATTTATAGGGATGCACTGTGGATGCGATGCTCCCTGGTGTGGATTAACGTCCGCACTAGTGAGTACTACGACTATCCGCAGTACTATCCTGATAATTAGACCAATTTGTAAATTACAAGGAAAAAATGTGGTTCGGATTCCACTATAAACTGTAGGTCCCTTAGTTGCCATTAGCTGTATGGGCTATTAATTAACAGCTGTGTCTAAGGAACATGTCGGCCTTAGTCACTAACAAGACTACAAGATCGCGCCACTCATCCTACACTCATCCTTCACTCATATTTGGGTTAAAATACGCACATAGTGGCGTCCCCATCTTATTGATAATTGACGATATATGGACTGTCAAAATCTGAATTTTTGGAGCTACTCTGTAGTTAAGTATTGATTTACTTTGTTCCATTTTATAAACTCTTCGTTCTACAGGAAAGACAGAGTTGGAACTGCCAGATACTCGCAAGAGGATGGGAGACAAGGCTTCTTTTGTCAATGTTTATCCCTTCATTTGGAACGACTTTGCTGAAAGCGGATACGTTACAGGTATATTGGGTTTACAAATCTTGTATTAATAAGAGCAAAACCATCTAAATCTTAAATATGTATGTAACTTATTTACTAGGTGTAAATGGTTCATTTTAAAGTTGTTAGTTCTTTGTTTTAATAAAGAAAGGGCAAATTTTGCATCCATTATTTCCACAGGCTTGTTTTACTACTAGCTACAAACAAACCTCTAGTGCCTGGTTAAGGATTTTTTTCATAGCAGGTTTACCTTTGTGAAAAAAGAGTCCATTACGGCCCAAGAACCTAACATCTAGTACAATAAGTAAACAATTCCAATGTCACAGCATTTTCCACCATAGAAGGTTTGAGCTGATCACTAAACTTAGTGTAAAGCTGGAATTTGTCAAGTATAGGCTAAATATGGTTAAAGGCTTGCTCAATATGGTTATAGGCTAAATATGGATGCAAGTCTGCTGTTCTTGTTCCTACATAGACTCTTTTCCGTTCGAGTAAGCCTGAAATAAACCACAAATTTTTACATCTTCAATAGTAAGAACTTGTGTATTTAAAAGATGTTGATAGTTACCACCACCAGTTGTTACAGTTTAATTCTTATTTTAAATACTTGTTCAGAAATTTTAAATCAGTTTTGAGTTATCTCGTAATTTTGAATGTTCTTAAAGCGTACATGGAAGATACACCCTCCAATGGGATCTGGACGTATCGACTGAAAGGTTTTGACTCTCAGCCCACCGATCATTACATGAGGACTTTCTTTGTTGAGGCGGAGGGCGACTACAGGAAACACAAACCATATTGTATCGGCTCACTGCCCAGACACAAGGTTAGTATCATAGAAATTTGTATGCAGCCTTGTAATTTACCAAGTAGTATAGATGTGTCGAAACTAAAGCTCAAATTTAACTACTACCGAAACTTAGGAAACATCCTCTAAAAGTTCTGGAACTACTTATCTTAAACATTTTTTCTATGGAACTACTATTGTTTTTTCATCCAACAAGAGCGGGTAAAAGAGGCTCTTCATAAAAAAAAATCTCCTATTAGCTTACTACCAACCCTTAAATCATAGGTGAGCTATTGAAAAAAAACAATAATTTTTTAAACCTAGTTTTTTTACAGAATTGAGGGTTGTACCATTTTGTTTAGAGTTAAAAGGACCATAACAAATTAAAATCGTTAATCAAAGATTTTGTTGTTTAATTACAATTTGTCTGTTATTTATTGATTTTTATTTTCATAGAAAAATCACAATTAAAAAATTAAAATTTCCAATGAATAAAAAAATTCTGAACATACAATGAGTTAGTACCCACATACCAAATTTCTTGAAAATCGGACTACAGGTGTAGCTCTGCACAACCCATGCACACACAAACACAGATGTCACTTTGAAAACCACTTTTTTGGTTCAGGGGACCTGTAACGGATATTATCAATTCAAAACTCAAAAATGTTGATGAAAACAATAGTTTCCACATTATACTGAATTTAGGGGGGGAGTAAAATTTTATGGATAGGGACAATAGAACATTATAAAAATTTAACTATATAGTTAATATTTGTTTTAGAAAAAGACAAGGTTTTGTAAACACAACGAGATAGAAATGTAAGTGTCTGAAGTTTGAAAACCCGGTTTACAAGTTATGCAAAGAAAATATTTTCTGTTACCAGATTATGATGGAGTACGCCAAAAACATGTTTGTGGTGTACAAGGACAGGCCCAAGTTTGTGTTTGGGTTCCACGGAGAGATTTCCCACGACAACTACAACCTGGTTGGAGCGGCAGACGAGGACTTGCTGGAGTGGCTGCAGTGGTTCAACAACAACGGACATCTCAACAACACCATGTTGATAGTCATGAGCGACCACGGCCACAGGTGACTGGGTGTATTTGTTCTATTATAAGAATAGAACGAGATGCTTAGGGCTTAGGTGCAATATTTCCTTAGGAGATATAACATTTCCAGATCATATGCAGGGATTTCTTGAAATAGTTTTATTCTACTGCCGACTTAAAGTATTTTATTATATTTCAATATAACTCTTCTGAACAATGTTGCAAGTGACAAAAGTGAATATTTTCAGAAAATACAATATGTTTTGTCTGTGCCATTGCCAACAAAGACAGTATTCCACAGCAATTGCTTGTGAGTGGATTCAACCTATGTATTTAAAAAAGGATAGGCCTACGGTATATCCTTTGCAGTAGAGGATGTAGTTTGTGTCGTCGTTCTTTGAAAAATCTCAATTTCACTAAATATGTTGTTTGGTAGATATTAATGTATTTAAAGTTTAAGACAATTTGAATTATGAGAGCAGTAAAACTTCAACATGCATGGATCGTCTAGGGGGAAATTATTCATGATTGATATTTTATATAGTTATATTTTTAATGAAAGGTAGTAGTAACAAAATAATAAGATGAATACTTGCTATTTAAGAGTTTCATTCAATTACTTGAATATTTGCATGCTTTGTTTCTGATCGGAGGCCCGGAGGTTTTTTTGCAAACTGAGGTTTTCAACTTGGCAATTTCAAAGTTTTGAAAATTTTAAAGGAGGCTGTTGAAGAGTTTCATTGCTGTTGTGAAGCTCTTTAAGGACTTTGAAAATCTGTAATTGATCATGAATGTACTGCACATGTCATTGAATCCCTGTGGAGCAATACAATTTCCACTGTAACTTGGTTCTATAGCACCTATAGTGCATATGTTTCCACCAGTGGTTTGCCGAGATTTGCAACACACGCAGGCTAGTTAGAATTCCCATGTAGTCATGCTTCCACTGCAACAAGTTTCTATTATGTGTGTTTTCACAACAGGTTTGCCGAGATTCGTAACACACAACAGGGCAAGTTGGAGGAGCGACTGCCGTTCTTCTCGTTCGTCTTGCCGCCGTGGATGTCTCAGACACACCCTCGAGCGGTGGCGAACCTGCGGACCAATAAACACAGGCTGACCACGCCTTTTGACATCCACGCAACGTTGGCCAGCCTTCTACACTTCCCTCCAACCTCGACGCAGGGCGATCTCTCTCACCGCTCTCTCAGTCTGTTCCAAGAGGTACTTGCTATTACTTTCATAGTTACCGAAGTGGCCACTCGTACTTGAGTTGGTGCTTGTCTTATTAACAAAGCTTCTCCAATATGTTATGTCCACAGCATCATCCTCATCAAGCATCAACTTCTGAAATATAACGATATAAGTAATTACCCAAATTAAATAGATATTGTTAAGCTTAAATCATAGTATTAAATCATAATGTATTTTCAAATTGTTTGTACACTATTTCCATTTATTTTACAAGCTGCAATTTTAGAGTAAAAACACTATAGCAATCAAGGTTTTAGTATTCCCTAACCCTTGATCTGTTTCTGCAGGTTCCGCAAGAAAGGACGTGTGCAGACGCGTTCATAGAGCCACACTGGTGTGCCTGTCTGGAGTGGGAGAAAGTAGATCCTCAGAGTCACCTGGTCCACAGGGCTGCCACTACGTTTGTTGACTTTATCAACCAGTGAGTACCAACCTTACTGCTTACTAGCCTACTAGTCCTGTCCTGTCCACATCGGCGCCTGTCTGGAATTTACTTTTGCTGGAGTACTTTCTATTGGTTTAGCACGCTGGATACTACATAGTCTGTCAGCTCCTCATACCTGCATATCTAATGTATCTCTCTGCTACCCCTCATGTCTTGGTTATGGTACATATCCTGTGTCTGAGTGGAGTATCGCTTAATCCACACATTAGAGTCCCGCCATTCTGAACCTCACTGTTTTGAAATCTGCCTATTCCAAACCAAAGTTGAGAAATTATTATTTCTATTATTACGAAGCCAACATAAAATCGAGAACTTCTTCGGCAGTCACGGCAGCAAATACAAGAACATCTTCTGCGGTCGTATTACATTATCATGGCAGACGCTTTCTGTGATCTCTAAAAACAAAAGCTTGGTATGGTCACATCAAAATAGTAGCTACGTAAAAATCTTTAGAGATTGAAATTGTGAACATCGTCCTCGATTGTGATGATTAAATACTACAGAAATAAGCATATTCCGAAGAGGATTCTGTCCCAGTCAGATTGGAATAGCGGAACTCAAATGTATTTTATAGTTACAGTTCTGGTGTTTTTACTTTACGGTTATTTTTATGTTATTTGAGGTGATGGTTTCAAAATGGTATCAGTAAGGTGTTTTAACAAAAGACAAAGTCTGAAATATGTTTGGCAATAAAAACATTTTATTAATTTAATGGCTTTAAACATGTCCACTGTGGTTCTATTATTTTCCTTGTTCTGTGATGTTTTGGCCATCCAACCTCCAACCTTGTTCCAGCTAGTTTATGTTGGTTACTCAAAACTCTATTGTATTATTAAACATAATAATTGTAGTTTCATGCTCTGTGCCATTAGTGTATGCCTATTTGGTATAGATTTCTGGAGGAATAACAAATGTTTATTTGTGCAGATACAACGCGAAACACTCTACTCTGTGTTCACTGCTGAACCTGGAGGCGGTCCTCTGGTCGGCACGGCTGGTGCCATCTAGAGCTTTGCGCCGGTTTAAAGACGCAGCAGATCTGGATGGTTTTGTGCCCAACTTCTCCAGCAACACTCCGGTCACCATGGAAACCTATCAGATCAAACTGATCACACAACCCGGCAACGCGATATTCGAAGCTTCCATCTCACATCACCTTAAAGAAGATACATTTTCATTAAGGGTGAGTTTGTGATTATCAAAATACATTCTTGGTCAGGTACATGTTATTGTATTTTATGTTAAACTGGAGGATAAAGAGATAGCTAGCCTTAGAAACAGTCTAGGTACGCCATAGCACACACTTACTGCAGTGGCTCCACAAATCTCACTGCCTCCTCCACCCTACTGTGACTTCTGCCAAGTTGACGTTTGCACCCATCGTCCTGACGTCATTCAATTCTTGGTCAGTCCATCACAACTTCAGCCTTCCCAATGGACCTCAAGTTGTGGCTCTCCAAACTTCATACAGTCTTGTTCCTTTCTCTCTTCTTAACACATGCACTATCCAACTTAGCCATCTTGCTTTAACCAATGCAACAATATCTGGGTCAGTGTAATTCATTTTGTAATTTGTCCAAAACTCTTCGTCTACAATTGACAAACTCCCATAAAGGTCGAAGTGTTGTGCATTTTCTGTGTATGTTTTCTATGCTTACCTGGACTTTTTTAAGGTAAGCTAGCTGCTATAACTTTGTTCTAAAAAACCTGGCCTATAGCCTTAAACGTAACTGACAATCGTTTGATTTGTTCTAGAACAAAGAATTAAATTCTTTAGACAAAGCTGATTCTGATCAAGTAAATACACAAATAATTTTACTCGAACAAGGTGGGGAACATAAAATTTATTTTCCAGAATCACTGTAGCGTTCCTGTTTGTTAAGTATTTTATGGTTTATTTTTCTTCTAGTCTGCCTCCAACACATGTTTTTGGGTTTTTCAATATTTACATGTGATTATTGTTGTTTTTTAAAATAATGTTCTAAATGTTTAAGAAATACATCTAAATTTTGTACTCAATCATTTTTAATTTCATTTTTTTGTGATTTTCTCTTCAGTATTTAAGTATCTTAACAAGTTATAAGGATTTTCTCTCTCTTCAATACTAAAAATACATTTATTTAACCCTTAAGTTGCTAGAAAATTTTTTTGTAATCTTCCAAAAAATGTTAGAGTTATTTATTTATTTCGTCCGAAAAGTGCTAGGCTTGCCACGGGGGCAAAGTCTAGTGTGCAAGAAAAAAATCGGTAAAAATAAAATGTTTCATCTGAAAAGTGCTAAGGAACAATATATCGGGCCGCGATCATATGAGGAATCGAAAGAAACCATCGCTGTTTCGAAATTACAACCGAGTCAACCGATATGCTCATTTAAACTCACGTGATTGAAAGTCGTGCCGGCATGATATATCGTCGCTTAGCGCTTTTTAGATGAAACGTGAACAACACTCACGATATATCGTTCCATAGCACTTTTCTGGAAAAAGACTCACAACGATATATTGTTGCATAGCACTGAAAGGGTTAGCCTCAAGACAAGTAATCAAGATTAGAAAGAATTAATTCAAGGTAAATCTCTATTCCTATTCCATTACTCAAGCTTAAAGCTAAATTCTCTTCTCTCTAAATTTCCTAATCATTTCACTGTTGGTTGATGAAAATTAAGAGTGGCCGTGGTTTAACAATAACAATGGGATGTTTGTATTGGGGGCTTGAACTTTATTTTCATCGATCGTACAAAAAAACCTTCATCTTGATGCAATAAATGCACACTTCCTGCTGAAATAAATTCGCCATTCCTAAGTAGTGTAGAAACACACCATCTTTGATTCCCAGCAACTGTACGTAAAGGCTGTATCTAGGGTGAGTGCACCAGTGAATGACCGCTTAAGGTTGACTTTCTACTTGTAAACGACATGGGAAAAGATACTTCTAAGCTACATTGTACGGAATTGTTAAAATGTATTGCCCATTTTTTCCTGTACTTCCCGATGATACAACTTAATGTATTATGTTAATAAAAAGTATCGAAAAATACAATTTTTTGCCCATAAATCACAGCACCAGTGAATGACCGCATATTATATAACAATTTTAAAATTGTATTAAACCTCCTCCATTTCACCGAATGACCCATGTTCAAGATTTTCGCATCGAAGCTGTAAACCCTGTATTGAAAAATAACGATATCAGGGTCGTTAAAATATTGGTTCTAGTGAAGGATCACTTTTTATCTAGGAAATGACCGTAAGATTTAACTCGCATTCAAACTTTGGTTATAGTGTATCCACATAATTTCTGATGAGATTTTGTGTTTCCTAGCAACCGCTTACTCCATCAGAAAACATTGTCATTAATATCAATAAAGAAAATTGACTCAAATCCAGTTAATTAACGAAACGGTCATTCACTGGTTATACCCTAATTTGTGAACCAGTAACTGACCGGCTGTTTAAATATACGATTGGTTTGGATCTTTATCTTTAAATGAGTACAGAATTATACCTTAACATCTTAACTGTGAATTACATGTAATATACTACAGTTCCAATCAATAATTAAGGAACCATGACAAATTACAACCAACCATGTTTGTACGAGACGCCATAGTGGGAAGCTTAATAATGAACTGCTTTGAAACATCTAATTTTGTTTATGTTACAAAAGGATGGTTGACACTTTCTTTTTTAATAAGTCAAAGAGTGTATATTAATAAGACCTCAAAGTTACTTTTAAAACTGTTTGTGATAGACTAGGAAAAACAGAAAGCCTGATATGATGTTTTTTATACAAATCGGTCATTCACTGGGGGGTGGTCATTCACTGGTGCACTCAATATAAAATCCAATTTATGTTTGTATGTTTGTTTGTTTGTTTGTTTGTCCTTTATGGACTCCGAAACCGCTCGTCAGATTGTGACGAAACTTTCAGCCATTGTTAAGCATTATTCAAGGATGGTTTGTGTGAAGTTTGGTGCAGATCCGTCAAAAGGGCTCCGCCCCAGTGGCTCTGGAGTTTCCCATGTTATCCTTATGAGTACTCATATTTAAATGGAATTAAAGAATCTTAACAGCTGGTTCAACTAAACAATTCGATTCTGTGATGTTCAATAGCATTAAAAAGTTAATAAGCTTACCAACAGGTTGCAGCACTATAATTTTTTTAAATTTATGACAACAGCTAATTTGCAACCAAAAGGTGAGTGACCGTAGCGAACGAACTTCAACTCGTGATTGAGCCATGCAAACGAACTCATCTTGAAAATGAACGAGCATTTGACATAAAACCACATTAGGACATGAGGACGTCTGTCGGGCTAGCTAGTAGATAATAAAAATGTATGTACAACCGACAATTTCTTGTTACAGATAGAAGACGTAAGTCGTATAAATATGTATGGCTCTGCTGCTGCTTGCATAGAGAACACTCAAGAACAATTACGTAAGTTTTGTCACTGTAAAACCAAAACTTAGACTGAACGAGGTACTTTCAACGCACATGGTGGGTGATAACTAATTGAAGTACAGTCGATGATAAGGACATCGTTGGGTGATAATTTGTGATATCTAGACTGTTGAAAGGGTTTGTAATTTGTATTCTTCTTCAAACATTATGTTATTGTTTTGTTACTGTTTTTGTTGGAGAGGTTTCAGGGTGTTTTTGTTACTTTTTGTTGTATAAGGCCTAGTTATAATTCTGTAAAACACTGTTATCCTTAGTTGAATCGTCTTATGAATTTATTATTCTTACTAAATGTGTTTTGTATCGAATTTCATAATATTTTGTTATAGTTAGTCAATATGAACAGTATTTACTCAAATTGATCAAAACAGAATCAAATGATGACTGATGTGTATTTTATGTGTGATATTATTGTAATTAGTTGTAAACTAATCAAAATACGAACCAAGCCAATGAGAAATTGTGTTTTATTAACTTAAATTGAGTGCTTAACTAATAAAAAGTGGAACTAAAAAAATTGTTAATAAACTTTTTATATTTGTGTGATAAATTATGTGTATTTAACTGACACAAAGTCTTAATGATCAAAAGCACATTTTGGCTAAAAACAAAGACACTGCCATGGATTTTTTGTGCATCTTCTCCGGGAATTTGTAATGTGTTGAGCTACAGTCTAAAGAGTTTACTAAAATTGTGTTGTTTTTTTACAAGTAAGTTCAAACTTGTTTTCAAAATATCACTTCCCGAATTAGTAAAACAGGCCACAGTACAATGGGCTATTTAAAATATGAGCCACAGATCAAATATTCATTTACATATAAGTAATATTATTCAAACATTTCAATATAATATAATTCTTATTCGTGATAATAATAGTAAGATATTTATTAAGGTTACTTTGTAAACCATTTCAGATCATTGGTGGTTTTGAATGTTATAATGAGTTTTAAGAACAATCAACTTAAAATTTAGGTTCATTAACTCCCACCATAAATCCAACAAATAGTTTTAAAATTTTAGTTTGTTTTCTTGCTCAAATTAAACTGGTTAAAAATATGAATTTAGTGTATATGTATTTTTTCTCTTTTGCTATAATTGTAGTTAAACACAAATAATAATGATTAGTTAGTCAATAATTTATTATATTATACGCTTGTTAAAGTTACATCTATTTCCGTAAACCCATCAATTGTATCTGTAATTAGGTTATGACCAGAGAAGTAATAAAATACAGGGAAATCATTCTTGTAGTGACCTACTTTGGACTCTTAAAAAAATATTGCATGATTCTTTAACTCAGAAGTTGATAGGAACTGTGGTGTATTTTTACTTTTAGCGAATTTCCCATATTGGGAAGGGACTATTATGGAAGGGTAATACCCGGACGCGGGACGGATCTACTTTTTCATTTCGATATCCCCGGAGACCCCTTAGCACAACAATTTGAGAAATGTTGGTCCGATTTTGATTAAATTTTGCATGAATTTGTTAGACTGGAAATTAGGGATTAAATTTTTAGTTCGGGACGGAACGGGACGGAATTTTTATTTCCTTCCCGATTTTCGGAACGGGACGGGACGGGATTTTTTCCTGTGCTTAAAAAGAAAGTCTTGAGTATTGCAGTTACCAAAAAAGACAAACAAAATCAATTTTTACCATTTGTGGCACTGATCTATAAAAACCAAAATATGGGTTAAAATTTACAGGTATGGAAACTTGTTACTCGCGGTCACGGTGCAATTGTCAAAATGACTTGCGGTCACGGCGGGATCGTCGGTATGACTCCGCGATCATAGCCGATCGTCGGTATGACAACGCGGTCACGGCACGATTGTCGGTATGATTCGGGGCGTGATCGTCGGTATGACTCCACGGTCACGGCGTGATGGTCGTTATGACTCGCGGTCACGGCATGATCCTCAGTATGACTTGGCGGGTACGGCACGATTGTCGAAATGATTTCGCCTCCTGCGTTCGCGGAACTATCGTGAACATCTCTCGCGATAGCGTCATCATCGTCACTCGCGATGCGGCAAAATCGCCGACGATCGGATCAAATTCCCGAATCAAATGTAATCCCGACCCGAAAATCGTTTCCCGAAATTTCGGGACCCGTCCATCCCTATTCTGGAAATACTCAAATGAGTTCACCATGCAGCAAGATAAAGTCATAGAAAAGAAAAAGTTCTAATGGAGTTTTGAACTTAAACATTTTTTTTCTCAAACCCTTAAAACATGAAAATGCCCAATTTGCATTACAACCATTGTACTATAGAGCTTAGTATAATTTAGTACATTGATCCCTGTATTTTAAGCTTCTGAAATGTGATTTGGCCTAAGATTGAGATTACTAATTCTGTGTTTGCAACTTAAAATTAGCTCCAAAGTTCAAAGTAAAAACCAACTCAACAAGATATAATAAAGCATTTCATCTTCTTAGTATTAAGTTTCAGCTCAAATGTTTCTTTATTATCATCTTACGTTTTAGAAAAAGATTTGATAACATCCTACAAAACAGGTAAAGTAATTGAAAGTTACCTTCAGCATTTTTAACAATGAACTTATGATATTGTGCCATGTATGTAATATTCTTGTTTTGCTCAATGAATATTTTATTTTAAACCTAAGGCTTCCGAATTTAAGAGATTTCTTAGAATTGAATCGTGTGTCAACAACAGTGATCAAAGTTTGACAGTTATATAAGAAATCTCTGAAAGCTCATGAGAAAAAAAAGAATAGTCACCACAAGAGCACAGCTGATTTTACTGGTTTTAAAATCAGCTTGGTTATTTTCTTAACACCACTGGCTAAATTGGATACTGAAGTAGACACCCCATCTATATAGACCAGCTGTTAATATATTTGTTTATTAAAAATGAACCTAGTTGTGTGAGCGCTAGTGTCTAAAATTCTATTTGTTACCCTATTTTTGGGTTACTGACCAAGTTGATGGGTCATAATAGTTGCTATAACTCACAATAAGTGCTATAGCTCACATTAGTTTGACTTGGTAAAAAAAGTTCATGTATTCGGCAGAAATTAGTAATTTAGATCAGCACAATCTGTCGGTGGCTCACATCAACTACGACAATTTGATTTTAAAACTCGCGACAACTTTGATAAGTAGAATTTATGTTGTTATACATTACTGCAGTTGCATTTTTTTATAGCAGGAAATAAGTTAAATTTAACCATAAGACTTAATTATAAGCTAGTTAATTAAAATGAAAAAATGAAAAACAAGTATTATACAAACATTTTTAGGTTTGAAATTTTGTGGTATTCATCAAAAGGTGTTATATGAATTAGCAGTTTTATTACAAGGCTTAACCATACTCCCTTATAGATTTTTCATTCTTTTGTATCTGATAAAGACCGACTTCATGGTATGTTCGGAAAACAGCTGTCTGCCACCTGCCTAATCAAATGGGTTCCTGTACTACTGTACGGTAATAAACTTACAAATCATGTTTAAATAAATAATTTTCCCCAATCATAAATTTTACTTTTTCGCACCTACCTAACTTAATTCTCAAGATAAAATCATGAATAAAGTTTGGTACCTAATAACTAGTCTAATATTCTGAAGGCAGTAAGTGGTTTACAAACAAAAACATAACCTCTCAGAGACATAATGTGTAGTGATTGATAAGTCCTTAAATCGGTGGGAACATATTACCGATTTTGACAGTTTTTCTATTGTTAGGTTAGTTTAGGGTAATAATGGCAAAAATATTGTATGTCACTCAAAATATGTATACCGGAATTGTTTGGTACTACCGCACTTGACTATGTCTCCCGCAGAAACTACCACTCTTGTCTGGTAAACACCTATCTTCCAGACTAGTTACGTGATGTACTATAAAGAGTATAATTTATTTGTGGAATCTAGTTCGTCTACTGGTTTTATTACTCAAAGAGAAAAGCGTGTGTTTGAATTCCAGCAGAGTAGAGAAACATCAATGCACTAAAATGTAGCCGTACATGAAATACATCAAAACTACTTTTAGATTTTATAATAGGATAAAAATTCTACTTCTAGTATCCAAAGTCATTGGTTTTACAAAACTATTGGTTGTAAGATAATGTATCTTTGTTTTAGTTTCATTGCTACTCTCTAGAAAAAAAACATCATCTTTTTTTATAAAGAAATTACTCAATTTTTTGTCCATATTTCAGACTTACTAAATATTGATTTATTGAGTTCCAAACTCGGAATGAAAAATTAAATAAAAAAATTATTTGTATAAACTGCTCAAGGTCAAAGACTGCTTTTTTCTTGTGTGATTCCCTAAACTCTGTGTTAATTTACAATGCCGATAATGTATGGAATTTAAAAGTATTAACAATCAATTATTATTTCTTAGTGTTTAAAGCTATAGAAAGGATTGTGCCAAACAGACATGCTGATAAGGTTGGCAATGGAATGTGTATCTTTATGAAACATGTATAATAAAGGAGTAAGATGAATCAAAATGATGATAAAACCCCTGAATTTAAGAATGTACACAGTATTCTATATTCGTCATAATGTGTAAAGATTTAGCATTTATTTGTAATTATTTAAGTGCAGTATTTATTAATGTAGGTGTTGTTAATCTTTCACTTCTGCATATTTCCTGAAAAGTGTCTTTTGTACATAGTTATTTATTTTTTTTATTGTATCAAATAAATTACAGCGGTAAAAACTTAAATAAAGCATCGATCACAAAGTTCTGTCACAGACATGTGGACTCCTTATGAGTTGCCAGACGGGACCGAACCTCCGATTTACGTTGCTGTCCCCTGGCCGAGCTGGCCAAGAGACGTCTTAGACCGCTCTGCCAAAGATCAAACTAACAAAAAAATGAAGATGAGTCCACTACACAGAGCATAGAATATATAGAGGCGGCACTTTCCGTCTGAAGTGAAGCAGGCTTCTCGTACCAAGATGGCGGCCGGCCCGGTCTGCATTTTCATTTAAACCATTGTATTGTTACCATGGAATTCACTAATCAATATTTACTTTTAAAACTCTCGCTTCAGAACTTTGGAAGCCCGTGGGGCAGAGTCCCAGGTCAATATCGAAGGCGGTATAGTTCTATATGTATCCTCGGAGCTTCATCTAATGCATAAAGTAGCATAGAATAACACAGTGGTAATGACGCTGTGTTTTCACAGTTCCGAGCCCGTCTCTCTTACCAAGATGGCGGAAATCGGCTTCACTACTGGTATAGCTGTAGGTATAGGAGTGGTGACTCTATATTTATTCTATGCTCTGTGGTCCACTATCTTTAGTGGTCAAAAATTTACTCATTAGTCAATACTGAAGTGTTAATTTTGATTACAATAGAACCTCGATAAACAAGTCATTCTCAATATAAGTGTCATTTTCAAACAATCTTAATATTCTAGATTACCCCTAATTGCATGTTCTTGCTGACTTCAATAAGAAGACAACGTTGATTGCAAGTCTTATTTATTACGATCAGGGAGGCTATCGAGGTTCTACTGTATGATAACCATTAATTTACATTAATAAGTAAACTTATGTAGCCTAACAACCCTCGTATTCGCTAACTGAAAGTGTTATGTAGCTTTTCATCCTATTTTAGCCCTCCTAAAATTGATAAACAAAAATCTTATAAGAGTACGGTATAAGCAAAATTAGCATAAAACTTTTCAATATTTTCTTTTATTCAAATTACTATCAGTATTTATTTACATAATACTGTAAGTTATTTTTGCATTAGTTGGAAGCATTTTTATTTCATCTTTGTAATTGTAAGACTAAGTGTTCTCAATATTTTTGTTATAGTAACATAATAAAGTGTATGTAGTTTTTAAACTGTACTTTATTTATTCCTCATCAATTATTTCATACTAACCCCAACACATTGTCCGGTGTCATATCCCGACACATGCATCGCCTTGTATCTCAGTGATGTGAAGTAAATAAACAAAAGTGCTTCACAAACTTGTAAATAGTGACATTTATGTATTAATATCAAACTATAGACACTGAAGATGCCTCAATGGACCAAAATGTACATAAGTGACTAAAAGAAAAACATCATCAAGAACAAAAGGAGACAACCAAATAAATACCCCCGCCGCAGCAAACCTGCAGACTAAGCGAATTTCCATTTGCCTTATTGGATTTACACTAAAATGTCTCCTTAAAAATATGTCATTTATTCCCTATTTAAATATAATAATTAGTTTAACGAGTACGTAGGTTTGCTGCAACAGGGAGGGTAAAAAAGTGTTTTTTTTTTGTTAAATGTTTATAGTTTAGTAAGAAATAAATGCGTTTTCCAAATTTGACCAAAATATCCTATACTCTAATACGAGCAATGTTTGCTTGTATGTATGTATGCTTGCTTGCTTGCTTGCAAACAAGATCTCAAAAACGGCTCCGACGATTTTCTTCAAATGTTGTAAATAGTTTATTTCTGGCCTAAAAACGAGTTTACTGCAGTTAGAACTGCCAACTGAAAATCACATTTTTATAACATTAGTCTTATGGGTTGCTAGGTAACCATGTTGGCTGAATTAAATAACAAGGAAAAGGTAAACAAAAGACTTGAAGTTGTAGCATGTGTTCATAATAAGCCAACTACCCACAGTATACTAGCAAATTACAAATACAGTACAAAAGGAATAACATCACTTGTTAATATTTAGCAAAGATTATACTGAAGATTACTCGATACATTGTAGTCAAGTGCAGCAGTGCGAAGTCTGGGATCTGTTTATGACGATTAGATTAAGGTATCTGCAATCCTAAAATGCCATAGGAAGGAAAGGAAACAGGTCCTCGACATAGGAAGTGGTGAAGGAAGTAATAAAGGCAATCATAAAATGCTATGGGAATAGAGGGAAACAGGTCCGTGACATAGGAAGTGATGAAGGAAGGAGTAAAGGCGAGCAGTTCGGAGGGTGAGAACTGTTTATGACAATTAGATTAAGGTATCTGCAATCTTAAAATGCTATGGGAAGGAAGGAATACAGGTCCGCGACGTAGGAAGTGGTGAAAGGAAGTAGTCAAGGCGAGTAGTCCGGAGGGTGAGAACTGTTTATGACGATTAGATTAAGGTATCTGCAATCTTAAAATGATATGGGAAGGAAGGAAAACAGGTCCGTGACATAGGAAGTGGTGAAGGAAGTAGTCAAGGCGAGCTGTTGGAGTGTTGTTTATGACGATTATATAAGGGTATGGGCAATCCTAAAATGCTATGGGAAGGCAGGGAAACAGGTCCGTGACGTAGGGAGGGAGTGGTGAAGGAAGTAGTAAAGGCAATCATAATATAATATGGGAGGGGAGGAAAACAGGTCAAGTAGTCAAGGCGAGTAGTCCGGAGTGTGGGAACTGTTTATGTTGATTAGATTAAGGTATCTGCAATCCTAAAATGCTATGGGAAAGGAAGGAAACAGGTCCGCGACGTAGGGAGTGGTGAAGGAAGCAGTAAAGGCAATCATAATATAATATGGGAAGGGAGGGAAACAGGTCCGCGACGTAGGAAGTGGTGAGGGAAGTAGTCAAGGCGAGTAGTCCGGAGTGTGGGAACTGTTTATGTTGATTAGATTAAGGTATCTGCAATCCTAAAATGCTATGGGAAGGGAGGGAAACAGGTCAGTGACGTAGGAAGTGGTGAAGGAAGTAGTTAAGGCGAGCTGTCTGGAGCGTGGGAACTGTTTATGATGATTAGATTAAGGTATTTGCAATCCTAAAATGCTATGGGAAGGGAAGAAAACAGGTCCACGACGTAGGAAGTGGTGAAGGAAGTAGTAAAGGCGAGCTGTCCGGAGTGTGGGAACTGTTTATGACGATTAGTTAAGGTATTTGCAATCCTAAAATGCTATGGGAAGGGAGGGAAACAGGCCCGCGACGTAGGAAGTGGTGATGGAAGTAGTCAAGGCGAGTAGTCCGGAGAGTGGGAACTGTTTATGACGATTAGATTAAGGTATCTGCAATCTTTAAATGCAATGGAAAGGGAGAGAAACAGGTTTGCGACGTAGGAAGTGGTGAAGAAAGTAGTAAAGGCAAGTAGTATGGAGCGTGGGAACTGTTTATGACGATTAAGGTGTCTGCAATTCTGAAATGCTATGGGAAGGGAGGAAAACAGCTACGCTACGTTGGAAGTGGTGAAGGAAGTAGTCAAGGCGAGCTGGCCGGAGTGTGGGAACTGAATATTGATTAGATTAAGGTATCTACAATCCTAAAGTGCTATGGGAATGCAGGGAAACAGGTCCATGACGTAGGAAATGGTGTAGGACGTAGTAAAGGCGAGCCGTGTGGAGTTTGGGAATGGATTTATGTATATCCAATACTAAGACTGCTTTCAGAGTGAACTAATGATTTTCCCCGAGCAAAGCTCGGTCCCCAGGTACTGTTCATAAACAAGCAAACTACAATAGTTTACTTATTCTACATAAGAACAACATCGGAATTTTAAAATGATAGTATTTTGGAATTTTCCCTTTAACCATTAGGTGCATTATAACGCTTCAATATACTAAATTATTTGTTTTTAAGCTCTACAAAATGGTTTGGAAGGAAATCACTAATTTTTTTTGTTTTTAGGGTCAAAAATAGGAAAAAACAAATTTTTACCCCATAAACCCCTATTCCCATAGTCCGATTATGTTGGTTCACGATCTTGTTTGAATAAATGTAGGATTATACCAAATTTCATCAAAATCGGGTCGTGTTTACTCGAGTTTGCTACCGGACACATATGTACTGTATCATCTTATTACACATTTTGTCTTGTGCGAGTTTTTGCCACTTTCCATCAGATAAATTAGCTGGAAGGTGCTCCCCTAACAATTGAAACCTCACTCATCCTAAATTGTTTTTGATGGGTTAAAACTAGATAGGTAGCTGCCTTTAATTATTAGGCTTTCTGGCTTTTGATACATGTTCTGAGCTTAAGAAATATTATATTATATTAGATGTCTACGATGCCGGCTTACGACGGTTGTAGTAAAGCAATGATAAGCGTAATGAATGAAATGACAGCTGTCTTACTGATAACTTTCAGATGGTTCTTTAACCAGGGCCATTTACTAAAAGTTAGTAACCAGGTACAGATAAGGCCAAATTTGAATCCATCAAAAAAGGTTCTGACTTCTCAGGATCGAACTGGCAACCTTCTCTATTACCAGACCAGCACTATATCCACCCAGCTATTTAGCTATACGTATCATTCGTGTACAAAAAAGTCTTAGTCAAAGACAGTTAAAACAAGGCTTCTCCCAACCGAATCCTCCACTCATAATCTAAATTACGAGATCGAGATTTGGGCAATCACGCAGACACATTCAAGACAGATTTTCGCGGGTACCCGTTGCGTGGGTGTACAGGAAACTAGGTTCGTCGCTTCCCCGCGGCGGCGGCAGAGCGCAGCACGTTCATTCAAAGTGGACGTTTGCGCGCGCAGAGATCAATACACCCTCTGACGTCACTGTGGAGGAGCGCCCCCATTGGCCGACACAGTCGCAGTCCAGCTCGTCGGTGAATGGGTCCGTGTCGGTGGCGAAATGTCCGCGGGTTTTCGCTGTTGCGGTTGACGTTAGCGGTCGCGCGATGATGTAGCGAGATGCCTAGGGCTCGCCATGTGTCACGGCGATTGTGTGCCGACCGCGTGTAGTGCCGTAGACCGTGCTACGATGGCCTCGGACCCAGCGCTGCCCGACTTGTCGCACCTCACACCCGAGGAAAGGCAGATCATCGAGAACGTTATGCTGCGGCAGAAACAGGAGGAGGAGCGCGAGCTGGAGATCATGAGGTGGGTCGTAACTACCAGCAATACCAACATTACCAGCCACCCCACCTATACCACTACCGGCCTACCAGCGGTACCCGCAGATCGATTCGCCTGCAATCGTTTACTTATTTACCAAATTAAACCTTTACCCTAAAACAATTGACCCTGTTTAAGAGGGCCTCTTGAAACCACAAAGAAACATTGACTTCACACCCCATCCAATAGCGTTACATCATCTATTCATCTATTGATTTAGTTTCACACCAAGAACAATTATCGAATTACCGTCTCAATTATGCAATTTTACGTAAATTGGCTTGTCTCTGAAATAGGCTCTAAGACCCCTACTAATAACGCACGGTCGCTATAAATCTTTAATGAAACCACATGACCCACACCATGACCCACATTTCTCAGCCTTGGGAAGAGAAAGACTATGCTGTTATGTAAATAGTTTTTTGTTTTAATTCCTTATATCCAAAGTTCACTTTTTATGTCAACTACGTAACCCTGTATAGTTCATTCTTACCTTTTAATTTTTGATCAGTTTTGTTGAGTGCCCAATTGGTTTCTAAAATACAATCATTAGATATGAAATCCTATTAAACTGTGCACAACCGCTTTACAACGATATTAAGAGTGATTATAACATAAGACACTGTTTTGTGGTCTTTGGTGTCTTTGACAGTCGCAAGGCGTTACTTAGTCAATATGGCTACAGACGTGTGGTGCGGGACTAGCATATCTAACTATTGGAAGGCGCTTTATACCGTTTACTAAACAGTCGGATAAATGTTAAAGAATATAACGAGTTGTGCTAATTTATTGTTCATTTTACATGTTTGATTACCATATTGCTTACCATAAAGGATTCTTAAAGTCTTTGTATTGTTCATTAAACTTTCCATTTTAAGCATTTCCAGTTCAAACACAACAGTGATTACTGTGCTGTAGTAAGTTTAGTAAAGTAATTTAAGCTGTTGAGACAACATGACACGTTATGTGGAACTGTTAATAAACAGAGAAAGAAACACATTTTATCCATTTAACACCCCCCTTGAATCAAACGGAAATCCCCTTCTCCAGATTCAACATATTGGAACATACTCTCCAGGTTGAAAAATACTCCGTTTCAATCATAATCGTTAGAGGTATTTTTGTGAAAATACGTGTTTTCCGTTTTTATGGCTATTTATGGGAAAACCGTAATTTAAAAATCAAAATTTCAAAAACAAACCAAAAACACTTGAATAGACCATGGATTACTCACACCAAATTTCATCAAAATCGGGCCACAGTTTTAGTTTGTAGCTATATGAACACATCTACACAAACACACACTCACACATACAAACACACAGATATATCACTTCGAAAACGACTTTTTGGTTTCAGGGAAACCCGAAACGGATATTTTCTCCTTAAACTCAAAACTCTAACATTTTGACGACAACAATTATTCTCCGTATAGTTACTTAATAACTGTTAATAACGATTATATTAAGGTATCTACAATCCTAAAGTGCTATGGGAATGGAGGGAAACAGGTCCATAACGTAGGAAATGGTGTAGGACGTAGTAAAGGCGAGCCGTGTGGAGTTTGGGAATGAATTTATTTATCTCCAATACTAAGACTGCTTTCAGAGTGAACTAATGATTTTCCCCGAGCAAAGCTCGGTCCCCAGGTACTAGTGTTTTAACTGCAAATAACCAGCTGATCATAGCCATTGACCTCGTAGTAATCTTATCTATTCAACACTCATGCTTCACTAATTTCCACCTTAAAACTTCCATCCTAGTGTGTATGTGTCGTATAGTTCTAATCAAATCGTAGTACTACTTCCCCACGAATATTAGAACAGAAACGGTAAGGATCATAAACAAATTACGTGACTGACCCACCCGATTGTCTATACTAGCCGTAACAGCTGGTCTGCAAGGTTTTTTGACAGTTCTATTAAAATATTAATAACAAGTAGAACGGGTACACAGCTAGTTGCAATTAAATAAATAACAGCTGATTAGAATGCAGACGTTTCAAGCGTGGGGGGGGGATTCGTGCTGGGGTCCCCCATGCTTTTCTTTTGGTGGATATTTTACGTTATATCTCGTTTTCTGGTAACTTTATGGGAATTCTGCCATTTCCCCCGAGTCAATGGGATCAAGACGTTTAATTTAAGACCCCACCCACTTTCCTGCGACTTGCCAGACGTCCACAATTTTCTGGTAAAAATGTTGTCCTACATAATTATAAGGATGTCATGTTTACTTTCGTGCAGTGACATCAATTGTTTATGTTTTTGGTCCATACTGTTTCTGTTCTCGTATTCGTGATACCTACTTCTACTTCCTAAACATTTTCGACGTTTAGCCTAGACGCAAGTAAATTTAATATTGTCTCCAAAACTTAAATCTTCCTGGGTAGGCCTAATTTAATTTCACTTTGTGCTAAATGCTAATGAATGCACCCCAAAATTCATTTTTTATTTATCCTGTGCCACCTAGTACATTTTCCGAGTTCGCCGCATCTGACAACACGCATTTTTCAATCCGTTTTCCGTTTGCATTAGTTGGAACAACCGCCTGCTCTACTTCTCTGTTCGGTACTCTTTTGTAACACCACAAAATAAACTTGAAATCAAATTTAAAATGTATTTGGGAGGTGAAGTTAGGACCAGTCATCTCTACCACTTAACCTCCAAAACATAAATAAGATATTAATTTTACTAATCTTACTAATATTATAAATGTGAAAGTTTGTGTGTTTGTTTGTTTGTTTGAAGGTCAATCAATCACGCTTTAACTACTGGACGGATTGGGCTGAAATTTGGCATGATGATAGCTCACATTCCCGATTAACATATAGGCATATTCTTATTTTAAAAATCCTTTCGGGCTCCACCCCAGTGGCTCTGTAGTTTCCCATGTTAACCTTATGAATATTCATATTTAAAGGGAATTAAAGAATTTAGTCAGCTGTTTCAACTAAAAAAATGGTTCTATGATATGCAAAAGTATTAAAAAGTTATAAGATTTACCAACAGGGTGCAGCAATATTATTTTTTTGCATTTATGAAATCACTTAATTTGAACTAAGCAGCAACAAAACTGTGATAGGCAATGAGAGGATTGTTTACAGTTATGTTTATGTTTTTGATTGCATGAAAAATTTGTGATATTTTGCAAATTAGTATTAGTTTATTTTTCTATATTGTTTAGGTGAAGTGGAAGAACATTATGGCTATAATATATACCGTAAATTTAAAGAAGCAAATTTTATCAAACTGTGTCCTTCCCCATTGCAAACGCTAAGTTGGAGTATAACTGCAATAAGCATTTTACACTTATATTCCAACCCCGTACGAAGGACGGGTACTCTGCTAGTCGTACTAATAGTTCAATTTAATAAATTTGTATAATTTTGAGCAAAATTATGGTTAACGTCATTGGAGCATTAGTAATATTTCGGTACTGTTAAACTGATTCATTTGACTCAAGTAATCTTACCAACATCAAAACAATAAATCTAACACAACAAACAGCCCATGAATGAAGACAATTAGCCGTTCAATCCGAGCTACGCACTAAACTACAAAAGTTTGTTAATAATTTATTTAAATGGGTTACAATAGAGAAGCGGCACTCTAAGCTGTAGAATTTGAAATCGTGGAAAACATTAATGTTATGCATGAATGCTGTAACACAATTTTTGAACCATTTGCTTCTTTAAAAACACGTAAAGGTATTCAAGTTGAGCATTATGTCATCTTTTTCTCAATCTGGATACCGGTTGGCCTGGTTTGAAATTCCAAATGCCAATGTAACTTGTTTGATCGAGACTAGAACTTTGGTTTCTTGAAAGAAGTGAGGTATTACTTGTATTTGTGTTTAGTTCATAACATCATTGGAATGGAATTTGGATAAATTAGTGGACATTCCACTTCTATGGAACATTTAAATGAGCTACAGCATAGTTGAGTAAGTCTCCCATAGAGGTCGCTAGTCGCTACCATTAAAATTCTATTTTCCCTTAACTTTCTTTATGCCTAACAGACCAAGAAAGTTGAGGTTGTATTCTAAAATCAACGAACATAAAATACATATAGTTGTCTGGCGAAAATAAAATGGCCACGTGACATTTGTTTACAAGATATTTTGTTTGGATTAAAATTGTCAGATTTTGTGTTTATCATATTTGGAGAAAACGACAACAACTAAGTTTAAAATCTATCCGTTAAATTGGCTCATTGGAACAAAATCAAAACTGTAGGCCTATAAAAAACAAATTATTGATGTATAAAACAAATAAATACCAATATGGACATACGGAGTGCAACTTTAGGGATTGGCTAGTACCTCAATATAGATATTATCTGGCCAATCGAAAATGCTGAGGAAGATAACCAAGGCACCTTGGTACGTAACCAATAGAACACCTTCATGTAATACCCACGAATACTGGAAAAATACCGGTATGGATCATAAACATAAACAAATGACGTTTTTGGCCCGAAAATAAACATGATTTGACATTGCTTAAATGGAACTGCCAAAACATATGTTCAATGCTATTAGTATAGGATTCGGGCCAACAACGTAATTTGTTTATGTTTATGATCCATACCGGTATTTTTCTAGTAATCGTGGTAATACCTTAAGATACCCACAGTCAAGGACGAAATCATGACCTTAAGTGAAATATGTTTCAAAATTAGAATCTCATCCAAATCATTTAGCATTTGAACTTGCTCAATAACGCAGACACGATTTATAGACTTGAGACGCTCGGATTCTCGACCGACCCTTCATATTTTTGTATTGCAAAGTGGTTCATTGAAGAATATTTGTTGTCGACAGTGTTAACAGTTATTTGTAATACTCAAACGTTACAAAAAATGTATTGTATTGCACAGCTTTTTCTTGTTCATATTAATTTGTAGAGCAGATTGTAAAGTAAACAATTAAAACAAAATGTGTTTATGAAGGATGTGCCGTTGTGGAAAGCGGCTGAAGGGAGCCTC